ACATAAGCAATGTGTATTTTTATAAAGCCCTCATTGATAATCTGAGATTATTATTATACAGATCTAATTCTGCCTAGAATTTTTTTTTTTTTTTTTAAGTTTATCTGGTTGTAATTATCAGTTAAAATGTGTTTCTTGGCAGTGTGGGAGTTTCTTGTCCATCATTTACATTGTGAAGACACTTTGCATAGAAGCACATGCTTCAGTGCTCTGGAGGTCTTTATAGATCTGTGACTGTAATAATTAATGACTGACAGCTCTTTTTCATCATAACAGATTCAAAAGCAGACATGACTGTAATAGCCATCATTATTTGGACACTCTCAGTCTGCACCTGGAGTAAGTAGCCTAGAAATTCATATCATTAAAGATCTAGAAATATAGCAATCCACAGAAGCTGAAATCCACATAAGCTGAAATCAAGTATTTACTAAGTTTCTGTGAACGTTTATCATGAACATGAGCATGTGAAGTCAACAAAATCTCAGAATTAAATGTCTTAGTATTTGTAGTGCAAAAGTAAGAAATATTGTGCTCAGTCTGTAAAGTTTAATTTTGTTTTACAGTGCTATCTTTCTCCTTTTCAGGTTGTGTAGGGCAGATTCTGACTCAATCTGAAGATCAAACTGTGCTGCCTGATCAGACTGTCACTATTCACTGTATTCAAAAACCAGCAGTGAATTGTTGGTATTCAACATATATTAAACACCTCTCAGTACTGCATGTCATGGTTTCATCAGATTCCTGGAGAAACCCCTAAACTCCTGATCTATTACACATCAAACAGAGCTTCAGGTGTTTCTTCTAGATTTAGTGGTAGTGAAAGTGGTAAACACACAGAGTCCAGCCTGGAGATTCAGGAGTTTATTACTGTCAGAGTCTACACAGCAAGGGAGTCTCTGCGTCTGGGATACACGACTGGTTGTTCACACACTGAAAAAGCCTCATACAATAACTCCCTTGGTTGAGATTTCAGAGCTTCTGCAGTTGTTGAGTTTGAAAATCATTATTCACCTCACTGACTTTACACAGACTCTTCACTGCACTGAACTGTTGATGTTCATTATTGACACACTAAAACATTTTATTGATAATTTATCGCAATGTCACAATTATGACTTACCGTATGCTTTAGTTACAATCCAATATACTATATAGATCTTAAAGGGCACCAATTTTACCCCTTTTCAAGATTTAAGATGTTGAAAATGTCTAACCTCTTTTGTGTGTCCAGAATGTGTCTGTAAAGTTTCAGCTCAGAACACCCATCAGATTACTTATTATACCTTTTTAAACCTGTGAAATATGAGCTGTTTTAACATTGTAGCTGTTTTTGTTGTCTGTGCCTTTAATGCTAATGAACTGATTCTCTTCGTCCACCGTTCCCTTGTGTGTGTCAGCCTTAAGCTGCAGTCACAATGGACTTTTCTCCCCATAGACTTCCATTCATATGTACGCGAATGCGTCAGACCGGAAACACAGGGTCATATGTCAAGATTTGCAGGTCGCTGTGGTGCAAAAATCAAGCTTGGTGAACTTTGACCTGCAAAATCGCATCACTTGACTGCGTGAGACCAACCAAGGATCAAAACATGACCTCTCTGGACAGAAATTTAAAACATGGAGCAATTGCTTGCTTTTTTTAATGCCTAATAATCTTGTTTAATCCCTCCTCTTTTCGCAGCGCTGTATGACATAAATTCGCATGATCAAACTCTAGTTTGACTGTAGCTATAACCTTCACGTAGACAAACAGCTCAGTGACAGACAAGAATGAAGCAGATCTCCATAACAACAGTTAGAACTTTCACAACGGTTATTTGATATATTTGTTGTGGAGTTAATTTATGCCTTTCTTTAGCGATGAGTCACACGCAACGTGCACACACACACATACACACACACATACACATTAGCTTTGCACTGTTTTGGCATGGCAAATGTGACAGGATACATGTATATCCACTGCTGTATGGACATTTGTCACATCCCTGGCTTGTTCCTGCTGCTCAAATCATTGCTCACCTTCACCAGCCACCTCTCACCATACCTGTACACATTCCTATTCTAATTAGACTCACCTGCACTAGTAATCACAGTCTTCTATAAAGCCTCATTGATTCCAGTCATTCATTGGCTGGAACCGAAGTCAGATGGTACACCGCACCTCACCATGGATGTTTCTCCTAAACCTGTGGATGCTCAAGCTGTGATTAAGGAAAGTGGCTTCATACTGATGGTTGAATGAAGATCCTTGTTTACATTGTGAACAGCACTTTATCTGCTCTCCATCTAAGAATATCACTTACCTGCTTCTCATGTTGATCAATCCATTGTGTGTTTTGAATAAATTGATGAAAAGAGATAACCATCCCTCTCTTTATTGTGTGACCGTGACAACATTGTTATGTTAATGTACAAAATGAACCTGATTTAAATCCACAAATCTTTATTACAAACATTTACTGTTTTAAACTTGTGAAACTCATTCTTGATCACATTTGATGATGATGATTGATGATCATAGTGAGCTGAACAGATCTTTTTATCCCAGTTACTTTGGGCACATCCTGTCTTGTTGATATGATTATACAAAATTCTAAAGAGACATTTTAATACATGGCTGTCAATTAATTCAGTGGGTGGGGAAACCGCACTCTTACGTGAAGTTGTGGTTGGACTCAAATTGAGAGTGATTTTAATCCTATTTTAATGTCAGAAAATGTGCCCTTTAAATTTTAGATACAAAAGCTCAGCTAAGCAACATCTAATTTAATAAAAATGATCAGTTCCTCATAAAACCAGGGCTGCCAACTCTCACGCATTTGGCGTAAGAGTCACGCAATTGATGGTATGCTCACCGATTGTCACTCCACTCATCCATTTTCTCACGCAGAAAACTCATCCCATGAAATATTTTTTTCCTTTGTGTTCAAGACGGTTTTAAAGACTTTTATCACTCTATAAAGATGTTATTCTCTCTATGTGCAACCGATCCAACGCTGTTGAAAGCAATGTAATCAAAAACAAACTGAAGCATGCATGCAGAAAAGATACCACGCATACCGTGGGCCTCTCGCACTGCTTCTGCTTGACACTGATGCGCTACTCATGTTCCCGCTCCAGATGTAGACACTGCTCATGTGCCGCTCATGTGTTTTGCAACAGATGTTGAGCCAAGAAATGCACCCCTGCCGTAAAATGTACCCCTTTCATAGACTTTTATTGGGGTTCTTAGACTACATAAAAACCAACAGCCATAAACGTAATGTAATTATTGTCTTGATGGATTAAGCAAAAACAATAAGTGAAACGCATTTTAAAATGCACTAGGTTTACAGATAAATGTAAAATAAAATTGTTATCTTCTGTAAGGGAAAGGTTCACTCTCATTAGTGTCAATGATGTTATTACAAAATTATCAATTTAAGTTAATAGATAGTTAATAGTGGGGGTGCATTTTATAATAGGGGTAACAGCCTTTAGTACAGGTGTCAGTGCGCAGTGAGTTTTAAAAGTCGACAAAGCTAAAGTTAAACTAATATAATGATGATCTTATTTTGACTAGCAAATCTCTTGATTGTTTTTTTTTTTTTTTGTATGAAGCAGAAAGGAGGGATAAAGTCAGGGAGTTTAAGCTTATTCCTGGCTATACGTCATGTCTAAGACAACAAACAACATAATTCTATAAAACATATATTTTTTGTGTTCTATACAATTTATATTTCATTCTAATGAAATTAATATTCATCCATTCATTTTCCATCAGCTTAGTCTCTATTTCAGAGGTTGACACAGCAGAATGAACCGCCAACTGTTCCGGCATATGTTTTACGGTGTGGATGCCCTTCCAGCCGCAACCCAGTACTGGGAAACACCCCTACACAGTCATTCATGCACACACTGATGCACTACACCCAATTTAGTTGATCAATTCCCCTATAGCTTATGTGTTTGGATTGTGGGGTAAACCAGAGAACCCAGAGAAAACCCATATCAACACGGGGAGAACATGCAAACTCCACACATAAATGCCAACTGGCCCAGCCAGGACTCAAACGAGTGACCTTTTTATTGTGAGGTGACAGTGCTATTTACTGAGCCACCGTGCTTTCCTGAAATTAATATATTTATGCAAAAGACTTGTTAAATGATCTTAGCATATCAGTTGTATCTTTACATTGTTTTCCAGTTACATTTAGAATTGGATTTTTTTCTTTTATTCATTCATAATAGAATTGTCTAATAGTAATAATACTAATATGTAAATATTTTATAAAAGTATTTAATATAATAATATATTTATCATTTTATATATTGTCAAATAAACGGGGCATGGCTTGGTGTGTGGGTATGACTTGGGATGTGAGGCTTAAATTCTCTCTCAAAGCTGAAGCCAAAAGTTGGCAGCCATGTAAAATATGTATTACAGTATTTCATTCTAATTGGATATCTTTTTTACTGGTTTATATAAATGTGGTAAAAAAAAATGTTTTATGACAATAAAAGATTTGGAGATTTGGTGTGTGCTTCTGCTGTAAAGATTTTAAGTTGAAAAAAAAGAAAAGAAAAAAAAAGCAAATAAATAATTTAGTTTGTTCCATGCTAAATTCCAACTAATCTAGTTCACATTGCAGAATGTTTTGCATATTATCTGAACATTTATGATTGTTAGTGTGACATTATTATAGTGATATTTAATCTTTAATTTGGATTAAAGTGAGGGTGTGAGGGGTAAATGTACAGCTGTATTATGGTGTGATTTGGTGTAAAAATGTACGTGTGTTATGTAATGCATGCGGTGACACATTAGGTTAAAATAGAAAATTCAGAATGGCTCAACATCTACTTTTCCTGAACTCTGAAAGAATTTATGAATCCACTTTTTATTCCTGTACCTCCTCTGTTAGAACATATATTATCCAGTATGCCATATAATTGATTGTAATCTATGAAACAAATAACAAATGCAAATAATGAAACAAATAATGCACTCCCAATTAATGATTCAAAAAGCTTTTATTTTGCAAAATAATTGTTTAATACAACTAAATCAAAGAATGTGTACAAATGTGGGAAGAAAAACTTTAAAATGGAACAAGAAAAATAGAACATAGAGCAAACTTGAAAACAATGTGGACAAACATTTGATTGAGTGTGTGAATTAATATTAAGGCATGTCTATAACCTGTGTGTGCGTGCATGCTTGCGTATGTTCAGTGCTGCTAATCATGGCACTGCTGTGTGTGTATCCTCTGGCTCACTGTGTGCTGGGACGGGTGTGTGGCGTCACAGCTGATGCTTGTTGCTCTGCTCCACTCACTCTCAGTGATGCTCAGGCTGCTGCTCCAGCTGTACAGTCCATCCTCCTGCAGCTCACTGGGACTCATATTCACACCAGAGCTCCTGCTGCTGTCGCCCACCTTCCAGCTCAGCGTCCAGTCAGAGGGAAATCCCTTACTGGCCACACACATCACTGTAGCCTGACCCTTCTGCAGCTCATCTCTGGAGGGCCAAAGCACCGCCACAGTGGGACGAGCCGCAGCTAGACAGTGAAAGAGATGAAGATGGAGAGAGTTTGATTGTGCAGAAAAAAACAGCTCTGTCAGTCATTCTGAGAGTCTTTCACTTCCCTTTAAAAGATTCAGAGTTAATCAAGCACATCTCCAGTGCAACAGCCCGTAATGACAGATTTTTTGACAGGAAATTTGTATTTTTAGCCTTAAATCAGATTTACATTTTTATATTCAGTACACATAGTTTTATATGCAGTATCTACAAAATCAAATAAAACTCTATTTTTAAGGTCTATGTGCTCACTAATCTTTGAAGTATTAGTAGATAATCTGATTTTGATCTTAACACTATTTTGATTTTCCTCCAACATACATTACTATAAGTGTATGAGTGTATGTATACATAGTGTACGAGTGTGAATTTGAGTTTGTATGGGAATTTCCAAGTGCTGGGTTGCAGCTGAAAGTGCATCTGCTGTGTAAAACATATGATGGAAAAGTTGGTGGTTCATTCCACTGTGGTGACCTCTGATAAATAAATGGACTAAGCGGGAGGAAAATAAATAAATAAAAGGAACTTTGCAAATACATGAAAATTTACACTATCAGTAACCCGAACACTAATCAGCCTACTAATACTCAACCAATGATTTATTAATAATTAATAATAATAATAATTCCTTACATTTTTATAGCGCTTTTCTGGGCACTCAAAACGCTTTACTCATAGGGGGGAATCTCCTCATTCACCACCAGTGTGCAGCATACACCTGGATGACAGGATGTCAGGCATTTCACGCCAGACCGCACACCACACACCAGCTGATTGGTGGAGAGGAGACAGAGTGATTAAGCCAATTATGGTATGGGGACGGATAGCAGGCCATGATGGACAGAGGCCAGTGGGCAGATTTGGCCAGGATGCCTGGGTTAAAAACCTACTCTTTTTCGAAGGACATCCTGGGATTTTTAATGATCACAGAGAGTCAGGACTTCGGTTTAACGTCTCATCCGAAAGACGGCGCTCACTGAGCAGTATAAAGTCCCCGTCACTATACTGGGGCATTAGGACCCACACAGACCGAAGGTTGGGCATCCCTGCTGGCCTCACTAACACCCCTTCCAGCAGCAACCTAGCTTTCCCATGAGGTCTCCCATCCAGGTACTGACCGGGGGCAGCCCTGCTAAGCTTCAGTGGCGACCATGTAAGAGTTACAGAGAGCTAGCTGACGGCAGTTAATGAGAGCTAGTTGATTTGTTCTTGCGAAGTTATCCATATAAGAAACAGAATATCTAAATTAATTAATGTTAATAAATATAAACTGTGAATCTCTATTTCTATTATTTAATTATGTTCAAATTCATGATAAAAATTGGTTTCAACCCTTTAACTACCCCACCAAGAACACATTTTTGGATTGCATTAGTTTACACACTTAATGCATTTTTTTTCAACACATCCCATAATTTCTAAAATATCAACCTCTACCAAATTGTTGATATGTCTATGATAAAAGTACCAGAATTAATACACTGAAAAACCCAACAGTCAACGTTATCAAATGAAATGAGTGTAGTAATTCAGAATTTACTGAAGATTAATTCTATTCATGTGAAAAGAGTTTCGAACTCAGTGTTGAAGATAATGAGTTAATTAAATACTTCATTACTTCAACTTAAATGGAGTAAGTTCACAGTACTAATATAAATTAGTTTTTTTTAAGTGTACATATAAAATAGAAAATCTAAAAATAAGAAAAAAAATTAGAACAATTTATTTAAAAAATATATTAAAATAAAACATTTTTAAATACTAAATCATCTTTATTTTCTGAAGTATGCCTAAAAATAAAATAAAAATGTGATAGTGCAACAGGATTGTGCTTTTTTGAGTTTTTTCTTGTAAACCAACAATGCTGTGTTAGTAAACCATTATTTAAAACAGCCATTCTTTAAATGTCTTAAAAAGTCATTATTTAAAACTGTCAAAATGGTCAACCATTTGGTAGAGCTGGCAGTTAAAGGGTTCAAATGTATCTGTGAGCTAAAAATGCATTTAATTGTTCTGTAAATAAGGGACAAATGTAAGAATGTGTTTAAATTTATAGAAATCTAAACATATTTGCAATAATGTATTCAAAATTTACTTGTTCTCAGAATTTTTATATTTAAAAATAGACTTTTTTGTCAGACATCTTATTAATGTTAGTTCATATGTTTATTAACATAGGAATGAACAATACTTGTACTTTATTAATCACAATCCAACATTTAGTGACGCGTTATTAAAATACAAAGTCGCTCTTGTTTACATCAGTTAATGCTCAGTGAGTTAACAAGAAATAAAAATGAATTTGATTTTTATTAACTAATTTGAACAAATATGACCAAGTGCTGTAATAAATGGATTGTATGTTGTATGTTAATTTTAGTAAATACATTAACTAATAGAATCTTATTGTGACTTTCTAATTAAATATGCTATTCTAAAAGTATTTGAATATACAAATAACTAACATGACTTTAAACTGATTTGAAACATGACTTTGATATTTCATTAAATAATATTTGTAAAATATAAATATAAAGCCAACAAATATCAGCCTCTCAGGCAAAAGCTTAATTCATTTAACCTTTTACACATGAGTTCAGCATAAATGTTTGGAGCTGAAACTCAAATTCTGCAAACACACTAAAAGTACAAATCTAATATTTTTATTTTTTTGTTTACTTTTAAGATAATTTTACATTTCTAAACACAACATAGAAAGAGATTTACTTACTTCCAACTGAGAGTCGAGTGCCTCCACCAAATGTGTACCACAGTGATACAAAGCCAATCATCAGCTGTACAAAAACCTCCTGCACTAAATCATGCTGACAGAACACTAACATTCATAATAACACTGATTCTGTATCATAGTTTAGTTTTGCTCAGTCTGATGAAAGTAATAATAATGATAACAAAAATGTTATGTAGTTACTAATAAAATGTTGCAAATCAATTTTTAATTTTTTCCCCAGGCTAAATTACAAGATACATCTGAATGCAATTTTGAGTTTGGAGTGTTTTGCATATGAACAGAACACTGAGTCCTTATAAGTGTGCTGATGATTATTAGTGTGTGACATCTACAGACACACAACAATGATTTATTTTATTCTACTGTTGGAGACACTTTTTCTGCTCACTCAAGGTTTGGATCATTTTTATTGAGATGACACATTTTTTAAAATATACATTTTTGCAGAAATGTTAAGCTTTTAGTTATATTTTTATGGATTCATTTCAATTTCATTTCTTGTTATTAATTTTTTGTTCTCTCTCAGTCTCTCATCAAGAGGTTCAGTCTCCTGAGTCTCTGTCTGTTAAAGCAGGGGATTCTGCCTCTATCAGCTGTACTGGGACCAGTGGAGTTGGTTATGACATGAGCTGGTATTTGCAGAAACCTGGAAAAGCTCCTAAACTCCTGATCTATGGAGTAAGTTACCTTGAATCTGGAGTTTCAGATCGATTCAGTGGAAATGGATCTGAACCTGCTTTTACACTGAACATACGTGGAGTCCAGCCTGAAGATGCAGGAGTTTATTACTGTATGGGGTACTATGGTGGTGGAAGGTGCACACAGTGAAACAACATCAAACAAAAACCTCCATCAGTTAACTTGTGGACTGAGCTTGTGGATATATACATATACATATATATATATATATATATATATATATATATACAGCTGTATATGTGTATATATATATATATATATATATATATATATATATATATATATATATATATATATATATTTTTTTTTTTTTTTATAAAATGTGAAGTTAATATTCATGTTATTCAGATCACACATGTACATCTGAGCTCAACGACCATTTAAAACAGACTTTAAAGAAAACTTTCATACATAGGCCTAAAAAAAATCATACAAAAACCTCCATTAGTCTGACGGCACAATAAAAACGTGTCCTGAAATATTGCTTCAAAGATCATTTCATTTAGATTAGAAACTAATTCCTTATTATGAACATAACATTTAATCGATCTTTACATTCTGTATGTAATTCTGTATTGACCAGTTTGTTATTTTTGAGTTATACTGTTTAAATCAATTAGCAATTCGACTATTGGCTCAGGCTGCTGCTCCAGCTATACAGTCCATCCTCCTGCAGCTCACTGGGACTCACATTCACACCAGAGCTCCTGCTGCTGTCGTCCACCTTCCAGCTCAGCGTCCAGTCAGAGGGGAACCCCTTACTGGCCACACACACCACTGTAGACAAACCCTTCTGCAGCTGATCTCTGGTGGGCCAAAGCACCGCCACAGTGGGACGAGTCGCAGCTAGAGAGAGAGAGAGGGAACTTGAACTTTCACTTCTCTTTAACAGGTTCACAGTTAATCAAGCACATCTCCAATGCAACAGCCTGTAACAACAGATTCATTTTACTGACAGAAATTTGCATGTTTATTTAAAATCTCAGTATTTATAATTAATATCAAAATCAATATTTATCAACATGATGTAAATAGTAATGTATTTCTTAAAATGCTGCGACACTTTTTTAAATAACATAAGCTTTGCTTTTGAACTTAATTTGTCAATAAATTATATCTGAAAATTACATTTCTGAATGTATTTACATATTTATAGCAATAACATATTCAGAATTTAAACACTTTATTCATCTTAAACAAGCATATTACAGAAATCTGATGTTGCATTTTGTTCTAATTCATTGAAAGAAAAGTTTTTATCCTTTTTGTTACTATTATAAAACATCTAAAAATAAAATGCTTGAAACTTTATATTTTTATATTCCTGTCTAATGTGAAAACTTAATATCAATAATAAAACTTAATTCATCAATTCAATAAATGACAGTGAATATAAATTTAAAGTAAAATGTTAGCCCTCCTGTGAAACTAAGTACTTCCTACTTAAACTAAATATGAAACTAAATATTTTCCAAGATTTCTTCATCATATTTTAGTATACATTTCCCCATATGATAGTTTTAAAAGCTTATTTCTAATAGCTAACTTATTTTGTATTTGCCATGACTACAATATATATTTTCCTGCTTATTTTTGCAAGATACTCATATTCAGCTTAATGTGACAATTAGTCTTACCCAAGTTATTTAAATTGGGTAGAGAGGGTAAAATAATAAGGCAAGTTATTGGACAACAGTGATTTGTTCTGTAGACAATTGAAAAAAAAATCTTAAGGGACCTAATAATTTTGACTTTAAAAATGTTTTAAGTATATTTAAAACTTTTATTTATTCAGTCAAACCGAATGAAATAGGAATAGGTAATATTGTGAAACACTCCTTGCTGTAACAACGGGGGATGACACACAACTGGAGGTAGGATCCAAATGCAGGTTTAATCGTGGTCAGGCAAGCAGTGGTCAATACAGGTGCAAACGGGTATGGCAGTGCAGAATCTTAATCAGTACACTGGCTATAGGTCGTAAGGCTAAACAGGAGAACAAGCAGGGGCGGACTGGGACAAAAATTCAGCCCTGGCACTGTAGCCACACCAGCCCACATGACCACACCGACACAGCCCCACCGACAGAAACGCACATTTACTACTTATATTGGTGTACAGATAGTGAAATAATATAAGCAGTACCATATATGTAATAGATATTTAAACATTTACTGTAATGTATGTGACTGGAAGAAAAACAACCCATTTATAACAAATTCATACATACAGTAAAACGAAATTAAAATAATTTAAAGTCAGTGTGCTGTCTGTTTACCATTTGTCTGCTATTTATGATAGGAGTAACCTGTGAATGTGTATCACACACACACACACACACACACACACACACACACACACACACACACACACGCGCACACACACACACACACACACACACACACACACACACCTTTACACACAAATGGACATGCAGCACTACATTCAGCATACTTTTATTCACAAATAACTATACTTGGCATTCTCTGAAGTGTTGTTCTTTATTGCCAAGGTCCATAGACTATGTTAGCGTCTCCTTGTTTCTATGTTGACAGTAAACACATTGTCTGATTCTACATCTTCTCATCCATTTTAACTCTGTAACTCTGCAATTTTAATATGCCTGTATGGCTGTCTGAGAGTATACTTGTTTCTCACCCTTGCCTGACTCTTATTGTGTCAATGCTTTTTGCTGGTCTCTGGAGTCACTGTGTCATCATTATTTGAATCACTGCTTTTGCTAGGCTTGACTCATTCTAGTTTTTAATAAATATGTGCTTATAAAACAATTACAGGTGACCTAAAGAATAAATATTAACAATTATGGCCTATTCTACAGTTAAGTTTAAATGTAACTATGTAGACTTAACTACATTTTTTGTCATGTGTTCACCTCTACTGTAGAGTTAACTACTAACCAAAAGTACAGTGTGTAATGTTTTTTTTTTTTTTTTTCTACCTCTACGACACTCCTCCCTGTCTCTGCTAGGCCTACCGTAGCATCCTTTCTCACAGCACTGGTATTGGCAACACCCTAGTTAATAAACACAGTATAGGATGTAAAGATTGCAGCACAATGTTCTTACTGACTGCTCTGAACATTTGAATACCAGGGTTTCTGCAGGTTTATTCAAATCAAATTTAAAACATTTCAAGACCCTTTTAAGACCATTTTAAATAAAATTGTAGACTTATAGAGGGCTAAACACAAAGGATTTTTTCTAATGGTCTGGTAACTTTAGTAAATAGATTTTGTATTAATTGAAGATAATGTAAAGGGATGTGTTGCTTTATTTTTTCTTCCATGATTAGGGAATTTAATTTGGAGATTTTGCTGAAAATAATGTAACAGCTTTTTTAAACTGAATCTCTTTGCAATAAAATAACTGATTTGGCCAGATTGGGTAGCTTTACTTGGATAGAGGGAAATTAAGAACAGTTTAAAATGATTTAAGACCTACAACACAATATTTCAGTGAACTTAAGACTATTTAAGGCCTAATATTTTGTTTTTCAAAATTTAAGACTTTTTAAGACCCTGCGGAAACCCTGTATACAAATTAATACAATTAAGTAATAACAGTAGCACCACAAGCAATAGAATATAAAGCAAAAATTAAAAAAAGCAGCAATATTTGTGTGCACTAGCAGATTTGTTCATTTTTAACCCTTCATGATATATAGTTATTTGTGAAATTATGCTGAAGTGTTGCTAGTGCTGCACCTCCATTTGTGTGTAAAGGTGTGGTTGTGTGTGTGATATACATTCACAGGCTCCTATCATAAGGGTTAATTTATTTTTAAATAGAGCCACAGTGTTAAAAAGGCTCCCATGAGCTTCTATTTTGAAGTGTTTCTGGCAATCAGTGATCTCATACACCTTGTTGATTGTACATGGAAGTGTTTTAGTATCTTTATTTTTATTTATTTTTTTTCTGATTCCTTAATTTGTTTATTTTAATTTGTTGTAGACTACACCAACCCACAAGGATACCCAAAGTGATTGCTAGCACTTGCATACTCAGTGCTTGTTGGAAACTTTGTGGAAAGAATAAAGAGTCAAAATAATTCTGGATAGATTGAATCTCATTTTCCCTGACAATGAGATGATTATGTACTGTAACCTATGCATGTATTTAATGTATTAGTTGAAAGACTAGCTATGTATTCAGAGTTTACAACAAATGCATACAGTACTGTGGCTATAGCTTTAGGTTCTTTTGCATGTTAGAATATATTCCTAGTAGCATACAGCAGTCTGTATACCAGAAATCACGTTATCTGCTGACAATGACATTAAAATGTGCGGGAGTTCTAGGCTAAGCTGACAACTGTTAAACACAATGTAGTCACTGTTTAATGCACTGTCACAAACTGTCAGAAGTAGCGTGAATGGTGATACATTTACTTGGTATGTTTTAGTATAATGACTTAGAAGTACATTTTTTGTTTTCTTACCTCCTCTACCGCGCTACTGTCCTCCGACGCAGCATCCGAATGTTCGAGAATATTTCAGTAACCTTATGCATTTGGCAGCGTCTGATTTTAGAGCCCTTTTGCGCTCTTTCTCTGAGCTTTTCAGCACCGCCTTTTATTTTTACGGTACATCTCTGACAAATAGCTTGTGTGGCACTTATTGTTTGTTTTACATTCTTGCTAGATTTTGATTACGTCTGCGTAATCTCAGGTTGGGTCGGCCCCTCTCGAAACCAGCCGGCCGTCGCCGATTGGACCAAATGCGCAACATTTATTATTATTATTATTATTATTATTATTATTATCATCATCATCATCATAATATCACATCTTGTAAGAGATAAAAGCTTGTAAAAGCATGTAAAAACAATACATATTTACAAAAAAAAAAAAAAACCTGACCGGCCCACATTTAAAAAATGGTTCAGCCCTTCTGGCATTTGCCAGAATTGCCAGATGGCCAGTCCGCCCCTGAGAACAAGGATAAAAAAGGCTGGGTCGAAACACAGGAAACAAGACAGGGAAACCACGTTGTAGTGTTATCAACAGATTAACAAGACTCGGCCAACTGAGAGGGTGAATGTGTGGCTTATGTAGTGAATGCAATCAGTCTCTGATAGTCCTCACGTGTTGCAAGTGTAATCAGTCTAGAT